AAATGTCCTTCCCACACTCTTTACCTGGCTGCCTACCTGTCCTTTACTCATCAGCCCTGGTGTCACTTTTTTAAGGTAGGAATATTTAGGAGAGGGATACAGAGAGCGAGTGCATGGTATGGAAGTGTTGCTTTATGGTTCGCACACAGGTCCTGCCCATGGACAAGTGCTGGTGGATGGAGCAGCCACGGTTATTATTCTTGAGATTGTGAGGATGTTATGAGGGGGATGATTTGAAGGGGCTTCTGCTCGCCCCATCCCAGCCTGGTTTCCCTCTGCCTGGCTTTGCAGCTGTCCACCCTGGCTGCTGAGCTGTACCTCCTGCATGCGAATGAGGAAGGAGTCGATGAAGTCCCTCGGGGAGTTGGGGTCCAGGGTGCGTTGGTTTTGCTCCACCTTTTTGGCTATGAAGTCCTCCAGACCCTGCAGCTCCTTAAATGCCTGTTGCTGTGGCCCTGGCAGGTGCTTCATCACTGAGTAAAACATCTCATAGAGCTGAGGATGGGGAGAGAAGAAAGGGAAGGATAGTTGTTCACTGGCAGGTCCTGCTGGGAGCAGGACCTTTCTCAGGGCAAGGAAGGCAGTGGGTTAAAGGCACCTCTGCAGGTGTTTAGGATTTATATGGGGCTGGATGGGAGGAGATAGCTAAGTTTCAGTGTGTGTGAAGTGTGTGAGTGTGAAGGCCTCCGTCCCAGAATGTAGGTGAGATGGGTTGGGACACGTAGCCAGGTTTCAGGTATTGGGGTGAGGCTGGATTGCAGAACACATCTGGGTGTTCGGATATTCAGATGTGGTTGAATTGGGAGACTCATGTTCAGGTGTTGACCTATTTTTTCTGACTGATATGGTGGATCACTTGTTTAGATCTCTAGGTATGGAGTAGGCTCAGTTGGAGACAACTATCCAGATATTTCAGGGATATAGAATGGTGGCTTCTGATTAGGGGTTGAGGTGTGAAAGTGGGACAGGTATGCAAGTGTTGAGGTGGGGGAGATACCTGTTCATGTGTTTCAGATGTTCACAGGGGCTGATGGGGGGCACTTCTGTAAGTGAGTCAGCTGGGTTGGGGGACACGATTTGGGTGTTTGGGGAAACATCTATCCAGGTGTTTACATGTGTAGGGGTCTTCTTGGTTGGGTCACCTGTCCAGATGTTCAGGTGTTTCAGTGGGCTCTATAGGGGCACTTATCTAGGTGGTTTGGGACACCTGTGTAATTACCAAATGACTTTGGCAGGCTGGATTTTATAGCGCCAGGTGTTCAGATATTCAGGAGGTGGGCTGAGGTGGTCACTTGTTCAGGTGTTAAGGTATTAAGAGATGGACTATCGTAATAGGGACCAGTAGGTAAGCTGGGATGGGAACACATCCCCAGGCGGCATGGCTGGGCCAATAACATGTACTTTGCCTGCAGGCTCTGTTCATTGTTTGTTTGGTTTGGTTTTTGGTTTTTTGGTGGGGGGGAGCATCTGTTGAGATATCCAGGTGTCCTTGGAAAGTGGGTGTTCTGGTGTAACCTTTCCATTGTCACAAGAGTGGTTTTGATGGAACCTGGTCTGGAGGAGGATGGCAGTTCAGGGCACCTGTCTCCATGTGGGAAAGCAATTGGTGGGTTGTGGTAAGGGTGTTGTAGAGCCAGACTGGGACGGGTTACCTGCCCCACAGAGGTAGCTGTGAACTGGAAGCTTCCCAGTATCATACGCAGCAGTGACAGGAACTCTTTGTCCTCATAGTCAAAGCGGTCCCCGAAGACAATGGAGCTGATGACATTGGACACTGTTCGGCTCAGGAAGAAGGTGGGATCGATGAAGGCACCTGGGAAATGGGATGAGGTGGGGAAGACACAGGGATTTGGGGGAGCGTCAACTGGGCAGTCTGATGCCAGCCTGAGTATTGGAGGAGGGCACTGGAGTGAGGAGCCAAACTTCCAGCACAAGATCCCAGAGTCTGGAGCCCAGATGCCTTCCCCCAAGCCAGTCCCCTTCCCGGTGGAGAAAGTGCCCGTCCGTGTGGGTGGACCCTTCCTTCTTGCTCACTCCCAACCCCCCCCTCCCCCCCCACCGCCGCTCACCGCGTGTGCCCTGGAGGGCCTCGATGAGGAAGCCCGCCTCCTCCTGGATGCGCTCCTCAATGCCGCGCTTGCCCACTCCAAAGTCCCGCAGCGTGGTGATGGAGAAGCGCCGGAGCTGCTTGGCCCGCTCCCCGTTGCTGAATGCCAAGCCTGGGGAGGGAGCGTAGGGGTGTGGTGAGTCAGGGAGGGGTGGGGACAGAGGTGGGCAAAGGTGAGCGGATAGCAGGAGTGGGAGGATGGGTTGGGGGGTGAGGGAGACAGGGAGAAATACAACTCAGGGTCAGAGAAATACTGAAAGAGATCGAGACGGGTTGGAAGAAAACAATCAGGAGACAGGCAAGTCAGATGCCCAGAGAAACCGAGACACGGAGACTTGTAAGCAGAGAGAAAGAGGGAGGGGAGGGAGGAGGAGTCTGACCTCTGTGGAGAACTGGGAAGTGGCAATAAAAATCACAAAGGATCCTAACGCTGAGCTGGAGAAAGAGGAAAATACGGAGAGACAACAGAGAGGATCTGGAGAGAGGAGATGTTTCCAGAGATAGAGCCATGGGGTATGAAGCAGAAACAAGGTGAGATTCTCACACAGAGGAGGAAAAGGCAGACAGAGGGAGGCAGAAGCACGGGGAAGCTCAGAAGCTGAGAAGGAGTAAGAGGCAAGGACGCAGGGATGGAAGACCGGGGCTCCAAGGCAGAAATCCCAAAGAACTCCTCCCAGACCCAGAGAAAGAAGAGGCATCCATGAGAGAGAACAGAGAGGTGGGCCGAGAAGCAGGGGGAATAGAGACTCAGACACCCTGAGTCAAGCTAGAGAAGACCAAAGAGAGGCCACAATAACCAGGGATAAGGACAGAGGGAAGCAGGGGTAGAACTCGGCCACAGCCTTGGGTGAGTGAGTCAGGAGAAGAGCAGTGGGGAAACTGAGGCCATCAAGTCTGCCTGACCACACGCCCCCACCCGGAGCTCCTCACCATAGCCTTTGAAGAGCCAGTTGAAGATGGCCTGCTCGCCGCGGCCGCTGAACTCCTCAGCCTGGTCCACCAGAGCCTCCTTCACCGCCTCGTGTCCACACAGCACCACGATGCGCCGGGGCCCCAGGTGGACCGTGAAGACTGGGCCATATCGCTCGCTGATCTGATGCAGGTGAATGCTTAGAGGCTGCGGCCCACACTGGGAACTGGCCCTGTGCCCAGCCCTCACCTACTGCATGCACTTCCCCCAGGTTCTGATACTGAAAGGCCTGGACATCCCAAAATCTGCTCTTTCTTATGTAGGACCCTGCTGGCCAACCTGCAAATTTCCACTTTCTTAAGACTCTGGTCCAACCTTGCCCATCCCCTGCCACCAAGTCCCAGCTCATTTAGGCAGGCTCCCAGCCCCACCCCCATTCCACCCATCCCCTGTCCTGACACCTTCATGAAGGAATCAGACATCTGCTGAGTGTTCAGTTGCAGGTAGTTCCCGATGAAGGGCAATGGGGTGGGTCCTGGAGGGAACTTCTCCCAGAGCTTCCTCTGCCTCCAGACAGACATCAAGACCATTGTGGTCAGGCAGGTGAGCAAAGCCACCAGAAGCAGCCCTGAGGCCAGCATGGTGGTACTGGGAGAGACGGTCAGATGACCCTGACTGGGGTTGTTTGCCTTTATATGACCTGGGAGAGAAAGGCAGAGTTAGGTGCTGATTATATAATTGTACCATTTCAGTTTCCAGTTACACCACCCCCACCCTGGGCTCACTGCTGAGCTTGGCACACAGCCAGTGAGGCAGGAGGAGGGGACCCCAGGAGGATTAACAAGGAGTAGGTCCTAAGACAGAGTGTGTTGCCCCTCAGGAGGGACCACCCCAGGGCTGTAGAATTGATTGAAGCAGTAGACAAATTCCAGAACTGAAGAGTTTAGATTACTTGTATGTGGAGCCTCTTGAGCTTTGGATTTTCGGTCTCAGAGTGAGAAGGGACCCTAACATTGTAGATTTTGAGGTCTCCAGAGAAAAGAATCCAGAGATCTGGGTGTTGGAATGGGGAGCGCCCAGATGGCTCAGTCAGTTAAGCTTCTGACTCTTGATTTTGGCTCAGTTCGTGATCTCAGTGTTGCGAGATAAGCCCAGCATCAGGCTCTGGGCTGGGTTGGGCAGGGAGCCTTCTTAAGATTCTATCTCTCCCTCTCCTTCCTCTCCACCCTCCTCTCCTTCTGCCCCTCCCCCTTCCTCTGCCTTCTGTCCCCCCTCCTTCCTCACCTCCTGCCAGCACTACCTCACTCTCTCTCTAAAAAAAGAAAGAAAGAAAGAGAGGAAGAAAGAAAGGAAGGAAGGAAAGAGAAAGAAAAGAAAGAAAGAAAGAAAGAAAGAAAGAAAGAAAGAAAGAAAGAAAGAAAGAAAGAAAGAAAAAAGAGTTGAAATGGGACAGCATGTGTGGCTCTGGTTGTGGATTTGGGGTTTTTGATGAGGAGGAATGTATGTTTAAAGGTCTCAGGGGGCACCTGGGTGGCTCAGTCATTAAGCGCCTGCCTTAGGTTCAGGTCATGATTCCAGGGTCCTGGGATCGAGCCCCGCGTCGGGCTCCCTGCTCCGCGGGCAGCCTGCTTCTCCCTCTCCCACTCCCCCTGCTTGTGTTCCTTCTCTCGCTGTGTCTCTCTCTGTCAAACAAATAAATAAATCTTTAAAAATAAATAAATAAATAAATAAAATAAAGGTCTCAGGAGGGGAGCAGGTTGTTGGGTGGCTCAGTCAGTTAAGCATTGGACTCTTGGTCTTGGCACAGGTCTTAATCTCGTGGTCATGAATTCAAACCCAGTGTAGGGCTCCAGGCTGGGTGTGGAGCCTACTTTAAAAATAAAAAGGGTCTCCCTGGCTCTCTCCTCACTCAGGAGTTTTCCCAATCCTCTCCCGCCATCACTCCCTCTGTTTGCTGCCAGCAGCCCTGCCAAACCCCAGAGGGACCTCCCACACCCTCACACTCCACCTCCTCTTCTCAAGTGCCCCCCTCCCACTGGCGGGGAAACCCAGCCCCGGTAAGGGGGAGTAAGCATGCAGACCAGGAGACCCAGGAGCCCCTGCCCACCCTCTGTTGTCTGTCCTCAGTATTCTCACACACCAAATGGGGAACATTAGTAGCACGACTACTAACAGCAACAATGGAAATGATGAACCTAGTGAGCTCCCCCAGGGACCTGGGTAGGACCGGTGAGGCTTTCTGTAAATTATGCCCCTTGAGACAGTTGGGACTATTTGGCACCATATGGGTGGATGTCATTACTATTTCCAAGTCCTTCCCAGGCCCTCTGCCACGGAGACCACAAGTTACTCTTCCTTCCTTAGAAAGGTTCCACTTAAACGTGGCTCTGGACTTCTACCCCTTTCCCAACCACAGACAGGCAATGACACTGATCCTGACCTTGCTCTGAGGTCCCAGTGGGGATTCTGGGCACCAGAGGAGGTACTGTGTCCAAAGCAAAGGTCGGTCAAAGCCTGGGGGAGGTACCGACTCTTTGATCCTGCTGGACTCCCATATACTTCTTCTGGGAACCCCCCATCACAGCCAGGGGTCCTCCCTCACCCCAAGACCCTCAGGTCCACTCCCTGGGATCTCCCCTCTCGATGGCGGGAGAGGATTGGGAAAACTCCTGAGTGGGGAGAGAGCCAGGCCCTGGAGGCTGGAAGTGGGAGTGAGGGAAGATGGTAGCCCTGCTGTCCTTCCCCCAGCGACCTTCTTCCTTAACAATAGGGCGCTAGCCTTTGGCGAGCACTCATTGTGCAGAGCTGGTGTGTGGACATGTGGTCTCATGGAATCCTTCTAGCAGGGGTCCCATTCATAGCATCCTCCTTTTGCTGTTCAGAAGAGCAGGCCTCCCCCACTGCCACTTGCTCAGGGTCACACCCGGATAGCAGGTAGGGAGCTGGGATTTGAAGCTTGTCTTCTCCTTCCTCCACTGACTGGCCTAGCCCACCCTGAGGGCCAAGTGGAGACCAAGTTTAGCAAGGGGTGGTGTGGGATTGGCATCGGCGCTGGACACAGAGATACACTAGCACCTTTTGCTGTTGGCGTCAGCTCGCCCCCGCTAGACATGGGAATTGAAAGCAAGTTGACCCTGAACTTGATGCCAGGAGAACACTCACAGAGCCACCTCTGGCGCCAGGAGGGTCTGAGAGTAGGCCCCGGTGGCCACTGGGGCTGGCTTCTGGGGGTCATCAGGGTGGCACCATGTAGCTCTGAGGTGGCCCCAGCCGGCTGTGACATGAGCACCATGTGGGTGCTGGGTTGGTCTTCCGTGGGCCTGAC